GCCTCAGTGAAAACTATGGATAGGGAGAAAGTAAGGCACTAAAAGTGATTAGGAAAAAAGGGAATCAGCAGACATGGGGCTTTCAGCAGGAGGTACCTAATGAATCTGATTGATACATTGTCAACTTTATGGGAAGCAGAACAGTAGGTAAAGGGACCAGCTCATAACAGCTGTCAAGAAATGATTGTTGGGGCGCCTGGGTGGCTCAGATGGTTAGGCGTCTGCCTTCAGCTCAGGCCATGATCTCAGGGTTCTGGGATTGAGGCCCACATCGGGCTCCTGGCTCAGCGGGGAGCCTGCTTCTCCCTCTCCCTCTGCCTCTCCCCCTGCTCATGCTCTCTCTCTATCTCTGTGTCTCAAATGAATAAATAAAATCTTTAAAAAAAAAAAAGATTGTTAAATGTTCAGCTCTTTTGCAAGCCATTTGTTAAATACAGCCATTACAAAAAATCCATAAACTTACAATTAAATTATATTAAAAATAAGGTAATACTCAAAATTGGTCACTTAATTTGTTTTATTATATTTACTATTATCTGTGCACACGGGGTATTTATGTCTCTAGTATCTACACTGTGGAAAAAATACATAATGGTGGGCTATTGCACATCTCTTCCCAACTTTGTGCTCAGCTATATCACATCAATCATTTACAATCAGCCAGGATTGTAGTATTTACAGCACTGAGCCAGCCAATACTACAAGTCAGGGCTTTTCTTGGAAAGCCAGTCATTCAGTGTTTACCAGCACACCACACTCCCTGCTTTACCTGCAGGTGCTGATCCCTACCCTCAAATGGCATCAACCGTCCACCGCTGCCTCCTGTCATCACTATCATAAAAACCAAAACCCCCAGGAATTAGCATGCTAATTAGGTTAGATTCACTTTCTAGTTTGTGACCTCTTCCGAATCTTAGCTTCTTCCTCTATAAACTTTTGAATATATTGAAAGAATAGTGGAAAAGGAAGTGAGATACATAAAAAACTTGGAACATCAAAGGAGCTCAAAAACATTATTTCTTACCCTATTTCCCCTTTACGGGTATCTACTTTGAATGAAATTCAGGAACAAGAGGAAGATATTGAATCGTAAGGACACTAAACAAATATCAAGCAGAATAAAATAGAAGTAATCTGCACATATAAGTTGTAGGAGAATATTAGTGAAACTTCAAGCATAATGAAGATATTTAACAATTCACAAACTTCCCCCTTAGGCATTTCCTTTATGCTTGTCACAGTGTCTGTTGTCTTTCTACACATATTTATTCACCATAGGGAGCAAGGATTCTGTTGCCCTCTACTGCACAACATCAAGTAAACATATGTAATTTGCCAGATTTATCCTCAAAGAGACTCTTTCAAAATGCAAATCATTATAAAGTCTGCATGTGCTCATTTGTGGTCAGCAGGGATGTCCATGCCTAAGGGGGCAAGGGAGGAAACTTATCATAAGTGCACTAGTAGTGAAATGAGATCTATGGCCACTGCTCTCCAGCATTCTGCAGTGTTCTCTAGCATGAATGCATAAACATTATAATCAAAGAGAATCTACAAGTCAGTCCAAAGCACTCAGCTGTGCACCTGTGATATTCTTTTCTCCAATCTCTCTGCACAGTGATTAGTTTGATATTACTCCATGTATATAATGAACACTGAGTAGCAGGTCAAAAGTAGAATCCTCTTAGGTAATATCATCATCTTAGTAACCTGGACCTACTGTTCAGTTCCAAGGCTGACCGTGACAGTAGTAACTGCTTCTGCGATTATACAGACTCTTTGAAACGGAGTGCAAATCAAGTATGCATCATTAACATGTAATTAGTACCTCGCGCAGAGGGCTTTTACCCTGGGACAGGAGCCCGGCAACACTTCTTTGTTTTTGAGACTATAAATAGAGCACTGAATAAACCAAGAAGTCTAACTATATGATTGGTTTGTTGCAAATTCAGTGAGAAGAGGTTAAAAAAAAAATCTGTCTCCTAAGATCTAGTCAACTTCAGGCTAATACCATTGAAATGAAACATTAACAGTCAAAAATCATTGCCTAGTGCTGTAAATTGAGCTTTGGATGAGAAAATAGAGCATTCTTATCCAAGCTCCATCATTCATTCATCTAATTCTGAAATATTTATTCAGTGCCTACCATATGCTGGACATTCAGTGCATCTTAGAGTTTCACCATATGAAAATCAATTATTCTATAAGCAAATAATTACTATATGCCTATATCGTACCAAGTTCTACATTAGGCAAAAGATTACAAAGGTGATCGAAAGATGGTACAGTCCACACCTTCCTGGAATTTGGTGTACTCATCTTTCTGAGTTTTGCTTTCCTAAGGTTAGTTTTGGAGTTCTTATCCTATAATTTTTCATTAAATTGGTGCTGCTCCCAGATTTTCCTACTAAGTTTGCAGCAGAATCTGCTATTGTCATTTCTTTATTTTTTCCCCCACCACATAATTTCTCACTGAAAGCCTGCTTTCTTTTCCTTCTTTGTATTAGTTATAAAGAAGCAGTATCACTGTTCAGAAACATTTGAGGAATAAAGATAATCAACATGTGTGAAATAGTAAAGTCAATAGGAGTGAACACATATTTTTTAAATAACCAAAATATTAATAGTTTGGTGTACTTTCCATTTTCTCTGCTTTACCCAGCACTTCTTTTTCCTCATTGGCCCTGATCTTTTTCCCATTTGGGCAGCTAAGCTCTTGTTTTCCCATTGTCTCAAAGATGAGAATTTCCTATGACAATTACCTTTCATTCTATAGGTCAAAAAACCAATGTGAGAATTCTTCCACCTGCTAGCAATGTTCATCTTTTATTATACATTCAAGAAAGAAAGCAATGGGAGTAAGTGACTCCATTAAATTCACTGCAAGATAGACTTGAACCAAAACTTCAATTATTTAATTTCTATGCTCTCTTGCTCTAATGGGGGGATAAGCAGGGGAAGGGGGTGTCATGATGGTGCTTTGGGTCCTCAGGTATGTGTGTGGGTTCAGAATCTATACCAAACATCTGATGAAATGTGTGAATATTCTCCTTCCCTCAGGGCAGTTATTCAGGTAATGGGCATATATCCCTTTGGACAAGGGCTAGAAGAATTTTTCCTTAATACATACACAATAGCTGTGGCACTTCAGGGACCTTCCTAAGATTGACTCAGTCTCTCCTTCAATATATAGCTCTAAATCTAAAAAGTAGTTAAGCTAACAATATTGGATCAGGGATTGGAGCAGCTGATATCAATCTTCTGTTCATCTTTATCTTTTCTGAAACTAGACAAATACATAATCAAGAAAACCCCTCTGAGCTACCCACAAATTTTGTCCCTCAGAACTCAGTGGTCTATTGACCATTACTATCAATTGGCTATAGGTCAAAGCCCCGAAGTGACATTGCTCTTCAGGAGAATAAGCAGAGTCACCTTTTCTATGATGATAAAGTGCTGCCTCACCTGGCTTTTGCTATTCCAGAATTCTGTCACACCCATTGAAACTAGTGAAACCAAGATTGTCCTTTACAAACAAACAAGAAATAAAACTAGACATTTTACTATGTGTATAGTGTTATCTCATTAATTTCCCTAATGACCAATATTAGGAAGTTTTCATGTACGTTTCTGATTTCTTGTTTCTGAGAGCATTACATGATAGTTTTGTTCATCTGGGGAGGATAAATCCTTATTACAAACCTATATCCGTATTTTTGGGAGAAGACAGCAAAGCAACAGGCCTAAATGTAACTCTTGTTCCTGCTATTCAGGGTAGACGTTCTCCCCAGATTTGCTTACCTGGAGACTCTTCAGAGCCACAGTGAACTGAATATTTCCTGTGTTGATCAATGTACACATCAAGCTCATGACACCAAAAAACACAGGGGACTTCCAACTATGAATGGAATCGGTACTAAAATTGTCTCCAATCAGGTATCATGCATAGGAATAAAATCTAATTCTGAGGAGAAATACAAAAGGCTAATAGAAATACAATAGAGTGTTGTTAAATCTTAAACATCACAAATCATGATGATGCCGTGCCAGTTTGAAATAAAACTTTTATGATTTAGGTGAGTTGTAAAATATTTGAAGGACTTCTGGGTTGGAAGTTAAGAGAGGTAGCCCTTATTTACAGAGGCCTCAGGCATTCTTAGGTTTTTACAGCTGCTATGCCCTTGGACTTGGTTATGTTTTCACCACCTGTGGGGCAAAGGTGTCTTCACCATATGGTCTGCCCTCAAGTACAGACTTTTGGAGGAGTCTTTCCTTCATCTTTCAGACAGGATTTAAACAATTTGTACCTTATGCTCTAGTTACCCTTATAAATCAGGTGACCACATAATCTTTATCAAAACAGGGACAAATTTTTGAGTAAAAATGGTTAATCACACCAAGAAAATGGGCATAAGCCAAGACTGATCTGGGAAAACCAGGACTTTTGGTCATTCTATTGTAAACTGCTTATTTGTTTCTAAACCTGCCCTTTCAAATAAACAGTATTTTGCTTGTACTAGGCATTTAGTAAACATTTATGAATTAATCAATGTCTAAGGAGACTAAGCAGGGCAAAGGCTCAAATCTACCAACAATAACAGTGGGTGGAAACTAGGACAAGCAGAGATCAGCGACAGAGAGGACCGGGACAATTGGCAAGAATAAAAGAGAAGAAAAGCCAAGAAGACTCTAAACAATACATGCATGTGACAGGTACACAAATGGTAACAGGTTAAACCATGACTGCTTTCTATAGAGGTAAGTGGGATAATAATAAAGCTTCAAGAGATGTGGTCCAAATAATTTAAATTAAGAGAAAATTTTCACAGCAGGCATCATGCAGTTAATTAATGTTTGCTTCATCTTGTATTTCAAAGAATGGGAAAAGATATGTAGAGAATGAGTATGAATTATTTTAATCAGATAACACAAATTAATACATAGTAAAGCACTGATGATATTATTAAGATCATCGAAATTAGTGCTAAGACTGGCTACTCTGAAAACAGGAGATTGTGATTATGTCAAGAGGGGAGATAACTGGGAGCACTGACTGTTTCAAGAAGGAGTGGGTCTCAGTTGGGTGGTCATGAGGGAATTCTAGAGGCAGCCCAAAGGGACCAGCACCTGGGAAACAAAGAGAAGAGAACGAGATATTAAGCCGATGAATGTCAACACAGGATGGAAACCAAAGTACCATATAATATAGGTTTTTGCCTTAATGCCAGGAAAACCACACCGTCCTATTTGGAGTGCCAGCAAAGCTGATGTCACTGAGATGCTACGGAGGACTCCAGGGTTACTCACATGCCTTTCTCACCACCTGATATTACTCATTTTAAGGACCTCTTTTCCCTGTGTGCCAAAAGTTTGCAGTATATAAGTTTGGTATCTGTCATGCAACAGGGTAAATTCTTTTAAATAGAGGATTTTTTTATTTTGATGGGAACCTAAATACCTCATAGGAAATTGATAGTGCTTTGTCAGAGGCTTTACAACTGCCTACTCAAATTATCAGTGATTTATTGGGGAGCTCACACAGGGCAGAAGGACAATATTTCTAAAGGCAACGATTGTGCTGACAGAGTTTCAAAAGCTGCTATTAACCCATAGCAGACTCCAAACTTAGAAGCCCCATTTTTTGATACTATAAGAAATTTTTCTTCATTTTCAAAAATATGTTTCACAAAGGAAAATGGACAAAGAGGCTATAAAAGGGGCTAAAAGAAATTTGACCGGATTATGGGAATTACATAACAAAATAATTCCCATGCCAAAGTCCCTATTTGTTTGGTTAGTATTGTATCATCAACAAAATCATTTAAATTCAAGAGAGACTTTAAAGACACTAGACTTTTACTATGCCTAGTAAACAGATGAAATTACTTAAAATATTACAGAGATGTGCTATTTATCAGCAGAATACGTTACAGGCTACTTCCAAAGTAAACACAGGAAGTTTTCCCTAAACCAAATTTCCAGGAACCAGTTGGATTTTATAGAATAAAGGTCCATAAAAAGTAAAAGATTTTGTCGAGTTACAGTGTGTATGATATCTGAATAGCTCAGGTAGTGGTAAAGTCTTAATATATACAGATACAGTGGTAAAGCCTCTTCCCACTTTGGGCACACTGGAGGATATTAGATCTAGGAAGTCATTTATTTCTACTGTTGTCCAGGAATTATACAAATGTTTGCAGATTCCTATAATTTTCAGTCCTCTGGACAAGTAGAATGAATAAATCAAACCCAAAAACAAATCACTGGCAAAGATTCTGCAACCTCCTATGATAGGAGAACCTACAATTCTACCATCAATCAGCCTTATTAAAAATTAGAGCAACCCACATCTATAAGCAAGCAGAGTCTCTCACAGTGAACTCATATTTGGCAAGCATATGGATTTTGGCCTGAGACCATGTCCTGTGCCTAATTTAACTAAATCCTCTTACAATCATTCTAATGCCTTAAAAGGCATCTCTTTTCTAGCTAGAAAGCCTCAAACAAAGTCATAAACCCCTGGAGTGACCCCCTGGAAGAAGTCTCCTGCTCCTACTGACCAAAAGATTTCATCTACATGATGTTTCAGAGAAAAGATGGGCTGTCACTGCCCTGACAAGGACCCATTCGAGTGCTTCTGATCATTGATGGCTATCAAAGTAAAAGAAAAACTCAGCTAGTTGGTGCTTCCCATGGAAATAGGATCCTTAGGAGGACTGGATTGCACTTCCCACAAAGGACTTGAAACAAGATTTTAAACTGTTATTGATACTGAACTCAACTGAAAAGAGGTATTCTGGCTAACTTATTATTTTTCTAGAACTTTTATGAAAGTGAAATTGTAAAAATTTGAATAAGATGATACCTTCAACACTATTGCAAGCATTCAGTTCACTTAAGCTTGTTTGGAAACTTCTAACCAATGACATCTTGAGTAAATTATGCCTACAAGATCATAAATCAATTATGCCCCTATGATCATAAATCAATTTAAACACAGAGGCATTTCTTAAAAGCCTCAATCAGATACTACACTTGGTCCTTACCCCACAGAGAGCAACCCATAGAATTTTGAAACCTGTTTTTTCCACATTCTTATCACTATTCTTCACAGAACATCTTTCAGAGAATTGTAAGTTACACTATAAAAAGGAGAAGAGTTGACAGTTTTCATTATTCAACAAATGTTAGGTAATGTCAAAAGGAAAAACATGAAGTATCCCCTTTGTTATAATAAATGATGAATTCCTTGATAACTGAAACCAAACTGTATTTGCCTCTGTCTTTCTAGAAGTTCCTGGCATAGTCCCCTGTTCATAGACATACACACACATTCTCAATCAAATCTGAATGTAGCCAACTTAACAGAGAGAAGCTTCAAAGTAAACTTTTAGCTAATTTTCAGGATTTACTCTTAGGGTACCAAAATATAGATTAAAAACAAACAAAACTTAGTAGTGACTGGACACAGAACAATGAATGTTCAAAGGTGAGATTTTCCAATCTAATCATGCCCTGTACTCAGCCTGGCTTGACTCTCTCTTTCATATTATGTCAATCCCTCTTTTGCATATAGACTCATTCATTCCTGCTTCAGGGAAAGCTGACCATGAAATTCTCCTTATAACACATCATGGCTTCTGGCTGTTCAATTAGTGACAATATACACACATAAGACAAGATAATTTACGTTATTGTTACTTTAGGAACTCAATGAACTCAAAGTATTGAAAAGTCTGTTTGCAAATTTTAGATTTCTTATTTTATGAAACATTTTGTATTTGAACTAAATATTAAATGAACCACTGAGAGACAGTGTAGTACCAAAACTTATCCTTTTTTCCCAGGAAAAGATAGGTTTTAATTTTACTTTTGAATCCAGAGTATACTAATACTACTCTCAAAGATTCAGTGCTCATAAGGGATGAGAAAATCATCTGTGATACCTCATTCTTCCTACTGTCTCCCTTTCTGTACAACCAAAAACAAGCTATTTTGGAAACATATCTTGGAAAATTGAAAACTGTGCCGTTAAAGAAAATGGTTTCATGGCAAGATCACAAAGTGAATATTCATTACCACTGAGGACAGAAAAGGGAGGGATCTAACATTTGTTAAGAAACTTATTTGAGCCAAGTGTCTATTTTTAGCAAGTAATTTTACTGAACCAAACTCAGTGGAAAAACCTAGAAATGAGTAAATGATCCACTCGAAGGTACATAGGAGATTTGTTAAACTAAACAAAATGGAGTCACAGTAAAACATTTTAGTTTTAGGAGATAACTTGTTTAGTTCCTGCTCTGTCTGCCAGTGATACTGTGCCACTCACCACATGGCCTCTGTGAAAAGAAAACTCAGAGTGGCACAAGCATTAAAAAAAATAATAATTTTTTTTCTCTCGCAATGTTTTTGCAAAAATGACTTCAGAATAGCTCAACCAAATAACAAACATAGAAGGTACTTAAAGTAAAAACCTTACAAACAAACAAACGACCTAAGTTATAGTCTGTTCCAGGTGGGAAAATAGCAGTTTGCTCACTTGATTTTCATCCCTGCAAGCATCAAAGATCACATATTTATAGTCATCAGGATTTCAAAAGTCAAGGAGTTACCACTTACAGAAACGGCTCAAGCCTTCACTTATTTAGAGACTAGTGCTCTACAGAATGTTTTTGCTTTTTATTTCTTATTTATGTATTTATTTAGAAAGCACGCAAGTGAGGGGTGGGCCGAGGGAGAGAGAGAGAAAGAGAATCTTAAGCAGACTCTACACCCAGCACAGAGCCTTTCCTGGTGCTCGATCTCACAACCCTGAGATCATGACCTACGCCGAAATCGTCAGATGTTTACCAACTGAGCCACCCAGGCTTACCATGTTTTTGCTTTTTAAAGTTCATCTAAGGATACAAATTGCTTTTTTTCTGTTATGTGAGATGCTAGGTCAAAATGCCAGCAGGGCAAAGTGTCATTTTGCTTCTCAGTCCCGTGCTTCTGGTCAAATTACACCCCCACATAAGTGAAGTTTTGGCCATATACATTTGTTTAGCTATTTTCTAATTCAGTATCAATAATTTGATGTTTTGTTTACTTGGTTTTTGTTACCGTAATTAATAAAAATATCCTTAAAAAATATCCTTGTTAATATGGTTAACATAACTAGAGCCATATGAAATTAGGGCTTCATATTTGATTTCTCTCTGGAGACTTTGTAAAGCTCCCAGGGCCATAGTAATCACTGTTATTTGCCAGAAGTACTTTTATTGCTCTTGTAACGATGTATTTCAAGGCTAGGGTTCAGAAAAATCCAATGCAATGTACCCCTAGTAAATTTTGCCGGCAGTACTTACAAATGTAGAATTATTTCTGTTTCTCTAAGATCTCCGGGACGTCTATTCTTCCAGAAAGTGACTCTTTTTCCTACCTGTAAATGTAGGAATCCATAAATGATAGAGCAGTTACCAAAAACTACATTTCGGCATCATTTCCATATGAGAAAAAATATGCTTTGTTCTTCAATAGTTGACTTACCATGCCTCACTAAGATTTTTACTGAAACTATGCAAATAACTACAATGTAATAAAGAGCAACAGAACACATTAAAGGCATTTTGCCTAATATTTAACCATTGTTCTGAGCTGTTCTGTCAACAGGGTCAATAGTGTGCCTTTGATTTTTACAAAATCCTCTTTCTTAAATTTTTCCAATTATGTATTATTTTGTATATTGTTTTTATTCTTTAGGACTTTTACTGAATTCTAAGGAGTCAATTTATTCCAGGTTGTAATAGGATAACCTATTAAAATTGATAGATCACAAAGAAAGGTAAGTGTTCTTATATTTTTATTTAAAAAATAAAACATTAAGCACAATTAAATTTCTCTTTCATTCAGTCTGAGGTAATTCATTCTTATTCATTTGATCTTGAGTTATTTTCTACTATACTGACACAGAGTCCTCTGCATCTATACTAGGAGTGTTAGAAATCTTATTTGACAGGCATCTTGCTCCCAGGACAACACCCACATGCCTAAGTCTGTGCCACGCAGAAACAATGGTTAAGAATGTGTGGGGAAGTTCTTTACTGAAGCCATCATTCATTTGATGTTTCTTCCAAGATACTTTGAGCCTTGTGGTGGGGGACTTGAGGCAAGTAGGAGGAAGAAGCAGAGAGCACTTTTAGATTACAAGACTAAAAGACTCTGGTTATTTTATTTAATAATGAACAAAATAAGAATGGAGAAGAGTAAAGTCCCCCCACTGAAGTTTCATACAAATTAATTTTTTTTACAATTTAGTAAATGAGTACCCTGAGAATAAGAACATATTATGGACAGTGAAGTCATTGACTCTAGGGTCTTTTAATTTATCCTATAAGATGTGTGCCATGATTGTCACCAACTGACAAGCTATTTTAAACCTAGAAACTAACTCTCTCGATAATCAACTTATTGATAGTTACTGTGGCAGTCTATGCACATAAACTTGACTGTTTCCATTCTTCCTAAAAAGGGCAAATATACTAAAACATATTCATTTTGCATAAAATTACTGTAGAGAAAATTAGCTTCTCTTTTTGATTTGTCAGTTCTTATATCTTGGGCTTAGCTAACAGAACAGTTTTGACAGTAGTGCTGAGCTAATTAAAATTATGGCATGATCCTCATATATAGACACAATTATTTCTAGCATTTTTCCTTTTATAAAGTAAAAGAGAAAATTATTGATGTAGTCTAGTAGTCTTATGGGTGTAAAAGACACCTCGATAGTTCTATTATTCTGGTTTTGATGCTAAATTTGTCACTCTTAAAAGGAGGCAATATGTGTTATGAAATTTTAAGGATACTAAATGGTTAAAGGAAACAATCATAATCTTGATTTAGTCTAAAAATAAACATGACAGCAAGTAGCAGGAAATATTAGAAAATCTAGTCTTAAAAAGGGGGGCGGGGCGCCTGGGTGGTTAGTCAGTTAGTCAGTTCAGTCAGTTCAGCATCTGCCTTCGGCTCCGGTCATGATCCCAGGGTCCTGGGATGGAGCCCCGCATCCAGCTTCCTGCTCTGCGGGAAGCCTGCTTCTCCCTCTCCCATGCCCCCTGCTTGTGTTCCCTCTCTTGCTGTGTCTATCTCTGTCAAATAAATAAATAAAATCTTTTTTAAAAAAATCTAGTCTTTTCACAAGTGAAATCTTGTTAAAAATTTATTCACAAGCATAAAAAAAGCACATAAAAAGATGAGTAGGCTCTTGAGTGAGATTATTTTGATGATTATAAGAAAGCTTTGCTATCCAAGAATAAAAAAAAGGTAGTGCTTTCGTCAAGATCTACCTGTAGATTCAAAGATCAATTTTCCTTTGAATGATGGTTTTCCTTCTTTATTATCTGTAAGCTTCCTGTGACAATTTTAATATCTTCATATTTAGACATATACCAACGCATATACAGTCAAAGGCTATTTTTTTTTAGATTACCTTAGGATGCAAATTGTTTTTTTCCCCCTCTCTGTGACACATAAGAGCTATGAACAAGAAGTCAACTTTTCTTCTCACTTGAGACACAGAGAAGAAAGGGTTTGATGGCAGTCCAGCATACTTTCTTGTCCAAGGAAGATCATACATGTGAGCTCCTGAGTGAAGTAGAACTTCCCTATCCAAAATAAACACAGCAGGCTTACATTCCTGTTTATTTGGCAAATGAAGAGACCATGAACTGAAAAAGATGAGTGGCCAAATTTCTTAACTATTCATTCTATTTTAAAATGGTGAGAATCAGAGGCTCCACATAAGTTTCTAGTAACATCCTGTTGTTTAACAAGCTAGCAGTTAAGAAAAATGATCTATCTCAAATATCCCCAGGGAAACATCAAGAATACTTATTTGGTACAATTTTTATGCACCAAATCACATAAAGGCATGTCCTTTGAAATCATAACAGGTAAAATGCCCTGAAATAGGCAAATTGGTTTAACAAGGGTTAAAAGAACTTTGGAAATGGAAATTTCAAACGTGTTGCTTGCAGACTCTATACTTTGCTAGTTAGCGATACTTTATCTTTAAAACATTCCACAAGGCTACTGTCAGTGTTTAAAAAGGGGGGAGCAAAAGGAGGATATAACTAATTTGTGTGATGCAGTTTGGGTATGCCCTATAAATTTTTTTTAAAGATTTTATTTATTTATTTGACAAAGAGACACAGTGAGAGAGGGAACACAAGCAGGGGGAGTGGGAGAGGGAGAAGCAGGCTTCCCACTGAGCAGGGAGCCAGATGCAAGGCTCGATCCCAGGACTCCGGGATTGTGACCTGAGCCAAAGGCAGCCGCCTAACGACGGAGCCACCCAGGCGGCCCTGCTGTATAAATTTTGACTCCACTCCACGACACATATTTACTATGAAAATATGCTGGTAGTTTCAACAAATCATTCAAAGTAGCCCACATTATGTGAGAAATTTAAGTACACACATCACCAGTTTATGGTAATTTTTAGGATCTCAACATTCCTTGGAGGAAAAATGAGGGAATGAGGACTGAACCATAGATTTATCAGCATAATCATGAAGATGATTGTTCAGCAGAATATTTAATGTGACTTATTTCAATAGGGAATCTTTAATGGGATCAAAATACTAAAAGGGCTATTTGAAAAATTTTAATGCAAAAGAGAATGGCTTTTTTTCATCCATTATGAATTACTGGGTTAGGTTTTGCACAAATGGAAACAAACAGCTTCATTTCGTAAACTTACCTTTTGAATAAATATACAACTACAAAAAATAAAAACTCATAAATAAAAATAAATATCTCATGTATCTGAGGCAGGCCCAGGCCAAAGTGTCTTTCATCAAAAGAAGAACCAAAAAAAAAAAAAAAAAAAAAAAAGAAAATGTTGAGAAGGAGTAGGAGCAAGATGACAGAATAGGAGGTTCTCACCCTAATATGCCCACATAAACACTCATTTAACAATTCTCCACAGTAGAAAATACCTTCATGAGAACTCTGGAATCCAGATGAGAGGTAATAGCATATAGGTGGAACACAGAAATGAACAAAGGTGCCCTGGAAACAGTAAGAAGAACAGTTCCCCTGTATCGGCATTACCCCTTCGGAATGCAGTATCAAGAGATCCCATTGGCCCAGAAGCTCTCCCATGGGGGAAGGGAAAGCAAAGTGAGCAACGGACTTTGCTGCAGTCCCTGGCACCTGGCCTACCCACTGGTGGACCCCATCAGCCAGCCCACTCAGAATCTCTGGCTGAGCTGACTGGGGAAGGGTTTTCCCTGCCACACCCCGTCTGCAAAGGCTGGAAGAGGTGTCTCTTTTTCAAATGAGCAGATACCAACACAAGGCTCCAAAGATCACAAAGAATCAGGGAAACATGATACCACCAAAGGAACAAAATAAAGTCCCAGTAACTGGCCCTAAGGAAATGGAGATCTTATTACCTGACAAAGGGTTCAATATAATTGCCCTAAAGGAAATTCAGTGAGCTAGGATAGAACATAGGCAACGAAATGAAATCAGCAAAACAGTACATCAAAAAACTTTACAAAAGCAAAAAATCATGTGCCAGGGAGATGGAAATCATCTGTGCTGCCCAAAAAACTGTCTTATTTCTTTATATATTACATTATTGTACATTTTGAAGTTGTGTTTTCAAAGACTATATAACTATTTTTGAGACACTCCCAAATCAGAGTACTATATAGAATAGAAACAAATTCAGAATTCTTTGAATAAAACAAATGTTCAACAGTAAAATAAGTTTATCTCAAAGTATCTAGATTCTAAGCACTTATAGTATTAATTTATAGTGTTTTAAATTCTAATTTAAAGACAGTTTTGCTGTTATACAAATGGGAACTTCCTAAAAACATCTATCCTCATGTTTTCATGCTTTCAGTCTAATCCAGTTGGGAGCTTGAGAAAAACAATATGAGAACTTAAGGGGCATAAATCAAAACAGCAACCCCGGGGAGACTCAGATGATCAGAGCAGAGATCACCATGGGAAATAAAATGTGTTTAACTGTCCTACTCTTGGTAGGGCTGGGGTGGGGGTATGTGTGGGGGGAGCACTTATAAAATCATAGTAAGAGGAAATGCAATTATAAAACCACATGTTTAATCTTTAAATGTAAGTAATTCAGTGTGTATGTACACATGTAATATTTTATATTTTTGCCTACTAAAAAAGCCTAGAAATAATCTATAATAATCAACCCATGAGCAATAAGCCTCTGAGTATCCAGACTGTGATCTTGAAATAACATTCCAAGTGAAAGAAACCAGAACCTCTTGGGAAATGACTGATTTCAGTGCAAGAAATGTACTAGTTGAGCCAATATTACCTTGTCTTACTGGACAATAAGGAAGCTATCAAATGCAAAGGTCATGTCAAAAGGACAAAAGAGCCAATTTGAAGAGGCTC